TTTAAATTTTTGAAGATTGTAATCAGGGAATCAAGTAAGAGGAAGGGAGTTCCACTGTCAGGAAGCGCGAGAAAAGAAACTCTTGGAGTAGAAGTGGCGGTTGCATTTAACTATTTCAACAAAAAGAGGGTGAAACCTAGATGCTAATCTAGTAGCACGCTTAAATGCATATAGTCGGTGCACCAGGGGAAAAAAACTCAATGAAAATATTTGTAGAAAAGACAGAGAGAAGCCACGCCACCCCGGCGAGAAAGTGACTGAAGTAGCGATACTAAGTTAGGATCGATTAAATTACTGTTGTAAACTAGGGAAGGTTACCGAATAGAATAATCAAACGAAGGTTGGTAATGAACGATAATACTTAGAACAAGAACAACACATATAAGATTCGCCAGCGGCGCGTAGAAGAAGTAGTCAACTGCTAAAAGTGAGTCAAGTAAATTCCACAATGAATCTTCAACTGTAGGATATCTAAAAACAGCCTCGCGAAGTCAGATGTGGCACAAGGCCGAATTTAATGTGGGGTATTCGAGACCGTAGCCTCGGCCAAAAATTCCCCGTAGACCCAGTATAAAACGGGGTCGGGTAGCTGTTTCCCGAGATAAGACCCTGCTCTTCGAGCCCGGAGGCAGAGAGTTTGACCAGCACAGCAGGAAACCAATCTCCAACTGCAGACCAACATACAGTATTTACTACTGTATTTAGGTGAATGGGGACATACCCATTATCGTCTGTAGGTATGCTACAACAATTACAAATCCTTTTTTGGATTTTATCAAGAACCTCGAGATGAATAGCAGTGGCAATAGACAAGATATGACAACAGTATTCAATGCACAGGCGAATGTCAATGTCCAAGATGAGGAGAAATATTTTCTGGCACGACACAGTGATCCAACAAATATATATTTTTATATATTGGATATTTTATATATATATATATATATATATATATATATATATATATATATATATATATATCCAGGGATGGAACTTTATATTGTATCAAAAAGAATTAAAACCATTTTGATAATTTATTAGAAAACATTTATTTATTAAGATATTTCCAGAATGATTTCTTAGTCACATTTGAACTGAATCGCTGCTCACCCAAAAGATCTAATTGAAGAAATATCAAATTTATGACTAGAAGACAAGTAGTTTTCCCACATATCTAACCATTTCTTTTGTCCGAATAAATTATGCTCATTACAGAAAAAATATCTTTCGGTCTCGGCAGAACTTATTTAGCTATTATATATCGGCTATTAATATACAAAATTATTTTCGGATAATTCAACAACCTGTCCTCTCTCCATATATATATATATATATATATATATATATATATATATATATATATATATATATATATATATATACAGAGAGAGAGAGAGAGAGAGAGAGAGAGAGAGAGAGAGCACGATGGAATAATGAATAATGAATAGCGACTTGGATCGAGGAATCGGAGAGCTGAGTTCGACTTCCACTCGAATTATTAATCGAAGATTATTTTCGGATAATTCAACAACCTGTTCTCTCTGTCGCATTCTCTCTCTCTGTATATATATATATATATATATATATATATAGAGAGAGAGAGAGAGAGAGAGAGAGAGAGAGAGAGAGGCACGAGGGAGAGAGAGAGGCACGAGGGAATAATGGATTGCCACTCGGATCGAGGAATCGGAGAGTTGAGTTCGAATTCCAGTCGAATCCATTACATTCACTTACGTGCTAATACCCTTGAGAAAGGTGTGAATCCTCTTCTTCTCCCTCCAGCTATGGGTAAACAGCAGGACAGACTGGGTTCTATAGCCTTGGATGGCAACTGGTCTAGGAGAAGGAGAACTCTGAATTCAAAACCTGTGGAGGGTTGTTTGGGGACCTTGTGGCACATAGTGCACCAGGTCTCTGTATTTCTCCCTACAAAAAGTTTGGTTGGTTCTGCACGAAACCTTCACCACTATAATAAAATCTCATGTGCTGGTGTCGGGCTGTCAGTTCGAATCCGTCGGGGGAGTCGAGTATATATTATTTATACAGTGTGTCCCACGATTTAAATGCTAGTATTTTGGATGATAAAAATAACTTAGTGTACCAAATATATTTATTACATAACTTATATACAAGGTGCGATGGGAAAATTGTCGCCTAAATTACGCAAAAATGAAAATAACACTGACATCTCATTTTAATATCATATTTATCAAAATTACACAAAGTATCTTGAAATACCAAAGAGTAAATCTATTCAATAAAATCGTCATTGGCTTCAACCACGGCCTCCAGAATACTTCAGAATCTCCTGCAACTCTTCTGGACGGTCTTCTTGTTTAAGTTGTTGAATGCTGTCAAAATCCTTGCCTTAAGTTCATCTTTGATGTTACAAGAAGTTTTGTTGGCCTCTCTCTCAATTGCGTCAAATACATAATAATTAAGTTGGGGTTCAGTCTGAGGAGTTAGATCATCAGATGTAAGGGATGATGTGTTCCCAGAAATTGACTAATAAATATGTGTGGCAAAAATTGTCGACGTTAACGTGTATAAAGTTTAGTAAGATGCAGTAGGGATTTTTTTGATTTGGATAAAAAATATTATCTGTTACTTCATTACACGTGATACGTATCTAACCAATAAGAAATAGCCAGACACAACATACCATTAATCTGCTTTTCTTTGCTTTTTATAATTTTTTATCATTGATCTCTGACGAAGCTTTAATAAAGTGAAATATGTTAGATTATGATTTATTTCCTACTTGTCCTTTATCCTATCATTTTGTCGGATTCTTATCCATACTCTCTCTGTCTCTGTCTCTCTGCCTCTTTCTTTCTTTCTGTCTGTCTGTCTGTCTGTCTGTCTGTCTCTCTCTCTATATATATATAACAAAAATAATTAACTTTAACTATATAGCTTGCTCTATATTATTTAAAACTAGATTACTGTGGAAATAACAGAACTAAAATCCGCGCATGCGCACATTCACTTTCCTGGATGTATATGTGAACGCCTAGTTACACTCAATATCAACATTTTCATAGTCCAATAATATAAAGCATGACTTGTGGTCAAGGTAGTTGTATATTTTTCAGTAGTGTCTGTGATCGGAGTTCGTATTAAGGTTCATTAAGAACCAGTTTTTAGAATGCTGACATTTTTAGACAGGTGGTGGGAAATTAGCTCTTTCTGTCTGTCTGTCTGTCTCTGTCTCTGTCTTTCTCTCTCTCCCTATATATATATATATATATATATATATATATAACAAAAATAATTAACTTTATTTCAAACAACCATCTCGTGGTAACGTTCACGGCTGACATGAAGTGGAAAAACTATAGTGAATCAATTGAAGGTCGTCTGCTAAGAAAGTCGGTTGACCATTTCGTGTGAGACAATTTTTCTCTCCAGAATATATCTTACATATCTACAAATCCATACTTAGAATATTGCAACATATAGTCAAGTGCACCTGGCATACATCTCTCTCTCTCTCTCTCTCTCTCTCTCTCTATATATATATATATATATATATATATATAGTGCATAAAAGGTTAATGGCCAGAGTTGAATCTGACCAGGAAAGGGTACTACAAAAAGTGCTCAATACACGCGTGAAAATAAAATAAAATAAAGGTAAAAATAACATGTAGACCTTTTAACTTTAAAAATTAGGAGGTTAGTAGAAAACACGACCTTGTTTTCGACCTCAAGCGCTCATCAGACGATTTCTATCGAAACCAAAATCACGTATTCAACTAACCTCCTAATTTTTAAAGTTATATATATATATATATATATATATATATATATATATATATATGAAGAAATATAGTCTTAAGATGTGCTATATTTATGGGATAAAGTGCTCAATATCAGAGATAGTGTGTGTAAATATAAAAGTGAACATAGATGTCAACACTTAGAGGCGACAGATGCAAATCGTCAGGCCTGACGATTGCATATAGCATGAAACAGACTATCGCCTCTAAGTGTTGACTTCTATGTTCACTTTTATTTATTTAATATATTATATATATATATATATATATATATATATATATATATGGACAAGGGATTGCTAATAAGTTTTCGATTCAATTCCTTTTCCACAGTCTCATCAAATACACATACATATAAGAATCTTTGTAGGATTATCTTCTTAATCGGGGTCGAGGCCTCTGCATTCACTCGTATGTATACTCGATTACAAAAAGAAGAAAGTACAAATATTTATTCGTGTGAACGCATTCATATATATATATACATACATATATATATATATATATATATATATATATATATATATATATATATATATATATTTGGTTGGATAGATGTGAGTTTGTGACCCTGGGTTTCACGCATATAATATATAAATAATTATACATATATATATTTATTTATATTTATATACACACACACACACACACACACACACACACACACACACACACACACATATATATATATATATATATATATATATATATATATATTCAGTCAGTGACTGTGTTAGCTGTTTGCTTTCAAATCACATTCGAATAACTAGTGCCATTCAGACCGAATGCAATGCTAAAGTGGACAGGTTTTGCTTCATACTTTATTGAACAATGGACGTTAAAATTTGTTTTTTTTTCTATCTAGAATAATATTCATCGAGATCTTTCCATTAAACTTTCGACCTATGAGTCCTTCAAGTCGCTACTCGCCGCATTCCTCGCGACACTGGAAGAGTTTCTTAAATTGCTTTAACAATACTAGAAAGGTAGATATGGTAAAATTGGATCCTCACAAGAGCTGATAACCAAAGAAGGGGATATATAGGAAAAGATATTGAGACTTAACCCATAGCTGGTGAAAAAGAGGTAGATTCATACATTTCCCCGAGGGAAAAATCGTCTATGTTAGTGAACATAACGAACCCAACTGGAATTTGAACTCGGCTCTCCGATTAATAATCTCGTGCCATTATCCATTGCACCACCCGCACATCCAAGCTTACAACACCTGGTATTCTCAAGCGGTCACCTATCTAGGTACTGATCAGGCTTGACGTTGCTGAACTTCCCTGATCGTGCGGGAACCGTTGTTTCTATGTGATATGGCCATAATCCTCGCTTTGGTGAGATATGGCATTTAAAAACATTGTGAAATAAAAAAAGAAAAGAAAAAAGAGTATCGTTTTGTACATTGAATGAAGCCAGAGAACAAGATAGATCGTAACGTTAAGCAATAAAAAAAGAAAAAAAAATGAGCTTTATAGTCTGAAAAATGCATTTAGAATAAAAACGAGTCCACAATATAAAATATGAATAAATTTAATAAAGTTGGACGAGAATCCGTCGGAATATAGATTTTATAAGACAACAGAAAGACTCGATAATACCGGATCCTCACAATATTTTTTCCTTCTAAATTGACGTGTTTCCCCACAACAGAAAATACAGCACATGACAATCATATGTCTTTCATTTTTTATTTTTTATTTTTTACTTAGAAATTGTTTTCGAGAGTGTGAAAAATGACAAGTACATAAACTCTAGGATCACTGCAGACAAGGAAGAAACTGATTGTCATATTTGTTTCACGATCTTATTATAAAACGTATCTATCAACAGATAAATAGGTGCAGAGTGCGAATAATTGAATTGAAGACAGTCAGGAGTAAAGAGGTGATCTGAATGAGAAAAGAGGCGCTGACAGAAAATTATTACTAAACAGATGACCCAGACTGTAGACTATTAAATACCCCCACAGGCAGACAGGAGATTAAACCGTCAGCTCGCATAGAGTTATTTGTAAACATAATATTCAAAGAAATAACCGTACAAGTCTTAAACGAGACAGGAAAGAGCACACCAAATGATGTTATTGTTAAATAATAGTTTCAGACTATTATTTTTTTTTAGTGGTAGCGTATTTTGGGCTCAGACCTTCTGAGGCTGACCTTTAAGGTCAGATGGTAGACAAAATAGGGAAGTCGATTTTGATTGGCTGAGCCGAACGTGGGAATGAGTCATAGCTTAAGATTTTTCGGTGAGTTGCTGTTTGGACGTCAAGCCAACTAGACGTGTTGGATTTCGTTTGTGCAAACCCCCTGCCCCCCCCCAAGTGGGGAAGGGTTTTTCGAGAGTAGGCTTTTGCACGTCAAAGGAAATGGACGTGTGAGATTATCGTAGTAACCCCGCTTGATAGAAGATGTAACCGTCGACATGCTTAATAAATTAGTAAGATTTAAAATTACTTTTGTTGAAGTTTTCTTTAATCTCCGAACAAAACAACTGGCGATCAACAGCCGAGAAAGAAGGCAACGTTATGAGTGAATGAAAACCGTTGTCCAAAGACCAACCCCAGAAGAAGGAGCTATACAAAACTATAATAGCTTTTTCGATCATGACTCTCCACAACATCCTGATCTTTAGTAAGGACTGTATTTTCGTTATCTCTCTCGGTTTCTGTTCTGTCAAGTATTTACAAGCTCGTTAGGCAGGTTACCAGCTGCTTTCCTTTGTCCCTCTTGCTTTCAATATGTTCCGGTGAGTGTCAAATTCTCCAGGTCATCTTTCCTCGTAATGTGTCTTAATAATTTTAACTATGTCTTTCTGATGGTAAGTACAAGTATCATTTTTTTTTTGTTTTCTGTTTCCTTAAAACATTATAGTTACTCCTAGGTTCTGTTCACGGGATTTTCAGCATCCTTCTGGAGAAACACAAATCGAAATTGAAAATGACTGAAGACACACTATCTATCTATCTATCTATCTATCTATCTATCTATCTATCTATCTATCTATCTATCTATCTATCTATCTATCTATCTATCTATCTATCTATCTATCTATCTATCTATCTATCCTTTCTATCAATATCTATCTATCTATCTATCTATCTATCTATCTATCTATCTATCTATCTGCTTTATGTTCATTGTTCATAGTTATTTATAAGTATAAGTATAATAATGTACAGAGTAATCGTTCGCTATAAAGAATTATCTGAAGATAATCTATCTATCTATCTATCTATCTATCTATCTATCTATCTATCTATCTATCTATCTCATTCTGTTGTTTGCCTATCTATCTATCTATCTATTTATCTATCTATCTATCTATCTATCTATCTATCTCATTCTGTTGTTTGTAATCTATCTATCTATCTATAATATCTATCTATCTATCTATGAAGATAATCAATATCTATCTATCTATCTATCTATCTATCTATCTATCTATCTATCTATCTATCTCATTCTGCTGTTTGCTATCTATCTATCTATCTATCTATCTATCTATCTATCTATCTATCTATCTATCTATCTATCTATCTGCTTTATGTTAATTGTTCATAGTTATTTATAAGTATAATAATGTAGAGAGCAATCGTTCGTCTACACATTTTCTATTAAATCGAACGGACAGGGAAGGTCTGTTATTGGTTTTTGAGGTTTTATGTTGGTGTCGAATAAGTCGTTTGATGTCGGGTAGAAAACGGAAGAGGAACGTGAGGAAATTATATTCTGACTACTTTCGCCCATATTTGATCGTTTTAAAGAAAGCAATGAGGAAGTAGAGAAATAGTATCTCTATCTCTCTCTCCATCCAGCTACTGATATATCTATCTATCTATCTATCTATCTATCTATCTATCTATCTATCTCATTCTGCTGTTTGCCTATCTATCTATCTATCTATCTATCTATCTATCTATCTATCTATCTATCTCATTCTGCTGTTTCTATCTATCTATCTATCTATCTATCTATCTATCTATCTATCTATCTAATTCTGCTTTTTGCCTATCTATCTATCTATCTATCTATCTATCTATCTATCTATCTATCTATCTATCTATCTATCTCATTCTGCTGTTTGCCTATCTATCTATCTATCTATCTATCTATCTATCTATCTATCTATCTATCTATCTATTCTCATTCTGCTGTTTGCCTATCTATCTATCTGTTCTATCTATCTATCTATCTATCTATCTATCTATCTATCTATCTATCTATCTATCTAAAGGGTGTTCCAGAAGTCGAATTACTAATAATAACCTTGTAAATTTTTTATTTAATGGAATCATGTTTCTGTATGTGACAATTTTTCATTAAGAAATTTTATTGGTTTAATTATGGAAGATGATGTCATACAAATTTTCCCTGGTTGCTATTTTACATGTGTATGTTTTCTGCTAATTGTCGCGCGACTTTTGGAACACCGGTAGCTAGCTCTATATTATTTAAAACTAGATTACTGCGGAAATAACAGCACTAAAATTCGCGCATGCGCACATTCACTTTCCTGGATGTATATGTGAACGCCTAGATACACTCAATATCAACAGTTTCATCATCCAATAATATAAAGCATGACTTGTGGTTAAGGTAGTTGTATATTTTTCAGTAGTGTCTGTGATCGGAGTTCGTATTAAGGTTCATTAAGAACCAGTTTTTAGAATGCCGACATTTTTAGACAGGTGGTGGGAAATTAGCTCTACTCAACCTAAGTTCCAGTTATTCCACTCTGGTCTTGTTCCGTAGTCTCTGTCTCTCTGCCTCTTTCTGTCTGTCTCTTTCTCTCTCTCTCTCTCTATATATATATATATATACATATATATATATATGAAATAAAGAAAACTCTCTCTCTCTCTCTCTCTCTCTCTCTATATATATATATATATATATATATATGAAATAAATTAATTATTTTATCTATATCTATATATATATATATATATATATATATATATATATATATATATATATATATATATATAACAAAAATAATTAACTTTATTTCAAACAACCATCTCGTGGTAACGTTCACGGCTGACATGAAGTGGAAAAACTATAGTGAATCAATTGAAGGTCGACTGCTAAGAAAGTCGGTTGACCATTTCGTGCGAGACAATTTTTCTCTTCAGAATATATCTTACATATCTACAAATCCATACTTAGAGTATTGCAACATATGGTCTAGTGCACCTGGCATACATCTATATATATATATATATATATATATATATATACTGTTCTACAAATACTTTCATGGAAATTGCTCCGAGGAGCTGCATTCACTGGTTCCCAGACTTCATGAGTTCAAGCGCCCGACGAGGCTGGCATCCCGCTCTCACCCTTTCACTGTCGAAACTGTTAAATGTAACCGTCTCTTCTACTCCAATAGCTTCATGTCTCACACCTCCCGCCTGTGGAACTCCCTTCCCTATACCAGTTTCCCTGAGAGCTATAATCTCCAGCTATTCAAATGTAATGTCAATCGACATCTCCAGTTGTCTTGATCTATCCACTACCCTTCTCCTCATCCTTTCCTCTATCACTCCTATCTGATCTTGCTCCAAATCTTCTGTAACCCCTTGCGTCCTAGTGGCTTTCCGCCTTGCTTGGGCTGAAACGCTTAATATATAATATATATATATATATATATATATATATATATATATATATATATATATATATATATAATTATTTATTTAAAATATGATTCCAAATCGCGACATAAGAAGTCCCATGTTTCAAAACAAGAGCCGAAAACTTCAATATAATTATTTAAATTAAATTGAGTTAAAATAAGCTCTGTTCCATCTTCAAGCGAAATTTTTGGGAATCATATATATATATATATACATATATATATATATATATATATATATATATATATAGTACATAAAAGGTTAATGGTCAGAGTTGAATCTGACCAAGAACGAGTACTATAAAAAGTGCTCAATACACGTGTGAAAATAAAATAAAATAAAGGTAAAAATAACATGTAGAGTTTTTCTTGTTCCGTAGTAAGCCAAGCTCAGTAAATATCATTGAATATCGAGGAATAAGAACATATAAACTGAAACGTGAATATGAAAAAGAAAGAGGTAAGTACATAAAACAGAGAGAGAAGAGAAGAAATAGTAAGAGAGAAAAAGAAAGACAAGAAAATAAAGGAGAAAGCATTTTAGATGCGGGTTTAATTGTAAATTCATCTAAATTTAAAAAAAAAAACAAACAAAAAACAAAAAAAAAACAACAGGATATAAACGAGGAGTTATGCTAATTATAATGCGCGTCTTGACGAGTGGTTAGAATGTTCAGGC